ACAAGCACCGAACCTCGCCAGCCTCATCACCAGAAGCAAACTTCCTCAACCCCAGAACACACCAAAAGGATCCAGACCGTGCCAGGACAAGACATGCAAAACCTGCCAACACATCTCCACCACCCCCACTATTACTACACCCCACAACAGAGCCATCAGCATCCCAGGATCTTACAGCTGCACCTCCAGGAATGTAATACACCTCATCCAATGCACCAAGTGCCCTGATGGAAAATACGTAGGAGAGACCAAACAACAACTGTGCACCACAATGAATGCACACCTGAAATCTATCAAAGACAGAAATACCCAATTTCTGGTGGGGGCACATTTCTCACAGGAGGGCCACTCTCTCTCCAATCTCTCAGTCCTGATCCTCAAGGGAAACTTACACAACACTTCCCAGAGACGAGCCTATGAGCTCCATTTCATCAACCTCCTGGATACTAGAGATCATGGACTAAACATAGACATTGGATTTTTGATACATTATAATCTGGCTGGCAACTGACTCCCCAGCCCAGCCCCTGGCTTCTTTACTTTTCATTCCATCCAGGAAGAGCACACACGAACTGCTGAAGTTCCCTTAGCCTGATGAAGGGTTTTTGAACCCGAAAGCTTGCTTTATAACTATTCTCCAACCATTTGGGTTGGTCTAATAAAAGATATCAAATTCACCCAAGGAACCTTGTCTGCCGTGTGGCTTCATAAACATTTTTCAATAATATCCTTCATTTTACCTTAATTTATTGTTTAGGTATGTCTGCAGTAGCTGTTAATGCTCTTTTTGATGCCCATTAATTGGAAAAGGCACCCCAACTCACATGTGGAAGTTTCAATACAAACAAAAATGTATCACAATTATTCTGACCTTTTTATATTCACTAATCCTTCTAGCTCTTTTGATTTGCGAGCTGCCGTCTTTAAGATTTCTTCAGGTACATCTGCCAGCTTCGCAACATTGAGTCCATAACTCCTTGCAGCAACGCCTCTAGTTATTTGATAAAGAAAAGTGATAAATTCAGGATTCTCTTCCTCTTCAGAACCTAGAGAAAAAAAAAAAAAAGAATAATTTTAATAAAACTCAAAAAACTCAAGCTCTTGAATAATGAAATAACAAAATATGAAAATGTCTCATTATAATTCATATTTCTGCCTTATATAATTAATAACCACTCCCTCCAAAAATAGTAAGTTAGAAACAAAAAAATTGTCTCATCCCAAAATTTCACTCAGCGTACTGTTACCATTTAGAAGCCTGATCACGTAGGAACTGTGTGTGAAGTGATTAAAGAACTGGACCCTTTATCTGTGCAAACATGGCACAGTTGCTGACGTGAAACATGTATAGTTTAAACTACTTATCTAGAACGGGAACACTGCATCTTTCATGTCTGCCCAGAGACAGAGGAATAGAGAAAATGCCAATGTCCCTATACAAGGGGACTGCATGCTCAGCACACCAAAAAGCTCTTTGGCCAACAGTAAACAATAGGCTAGTAAGTGAGTGGTTCAAGGAAAAGCAGAGATGGAGACTGTGGATCTTTATCTATAGATAGATATTACAGATACTGACTTCTTTCCTTAGAGGCTGCAGTGGGAACACAGTAGCCATCACTGGATTGCAACCCTCATGATCTCTTGCTCTGCCAGTCCCCCTGCAATTCAGCTTTTGGGCTGAGAATGCACAAGAACATCTGGCTACAATCATTACCATACATTCTTCCCTCTTTTCTTTAACATCTCATTTTTTGGAAAACTAGGAAAACTCATTAATGCTGAAGCTCAGGATGATTTAACTTTTGAATGCTGTGCTTATCTCAGTACTCAGAGAAACCTTAAGTATTTAATGCCTTTTTTACTTCAGTCTCCACAAACAGGGGCAGCTACCAGGGGACAAGTACAGTTGGCAACAAAGGTAGGGATGGAGAAAAATAGCTTAGTGGCAGAACAGGCTAGGGATTACTTACAGAAGCTAGATGCTTTCAAATTCTCCCTCATGTCCATCTCCTGAAGAAGGCAGTGTGCCCAATTTTGAAACTTACTCTCTGAGTATATCATTTAAATTTTAGCATTATATTTCAAACATACTAGGTGCTTTATACAAATAAACAGACACAAGCCCCTCCTCTGATGAGTTTACAATTTAAACAGGAAACTCACAGCTAATTTAGTTACAAAACAAAAGAATACACAGATTTTACCATTTTACAGTTGTTTTACAGCAAACAAGAGTAAAAATGTAGATTCTTATATTTGTAAAACAGTCTAATGGGTTTAAACACACACCTTCATATCTGTGATTAAATCCTCTAGACCCATGGTGCTCAACCTTTCTGGGCTGTAGGTTGGATCAGGGGTGCATGCTCTGTTTGCAGTTCAGATTCAGTGCAGGATCAGCATGCATGTTGGACAGGGCTTGCTGCCTCAACCCGCCTTCCTCCCCCATGTGCTAGATGATTAGGCCTGCCACCCCAGTGCTGCTTCCAAATTTGTGGACCTGTGGGGAAACCACAGCCAGATGACATGGTCTGAAGGGCCAGATCTGGCCCACGAGACCACAGGTTGAGCACCACTGCCCTAGACAGTTTTTAAACACTTCACTCATCTTTTTTTTTTTTTTTTTAATTAATACTAATTTCAGACAAATTTCACAATGTACCTTTTTGTTCACTTTCTTCTTCATTCACCAAGAATGCCATGTGGTAGTTCCCCACATTGCTGGGGTATATCTTTTCTAGTTCACAAACTGAGGGATAATGGGTGACAAACAGCGTCAATGATTCCACCTATAGCAACAAGATATGCATATATTAATATTTTTAAATAAACTGTGTAGTACTTTCTTCCATAGTTCTTTATTTTTTTTAAGTTGAACACACACATTTCTTCTCAAAGGAAAAAAAACCTTGCAGATATACTTGACATATCCGGGGAGAGTTCCCTACAACAATGCAGATGATGTACATATAAATAACATGCCAGATTAAACACTTACATCTCTAATAAAATATTCAAGTGTGGCATGAGCAATTGCAATTCCATCATGTGTACTTGTTCCTCTCCCAAGTTCATCCAAAATTACCAGTGACCTTGAAGTTGCTTTTCTTATTATCTCTGCTGTATCTGTCAGTTCCTCCATGAAAGTACTCCGGCCTTTATATATATTGTCTGCAGCACCCATTCTGCAAGACAAAACCAGAGCTTGTTTAATTATTAAATTAAAATAAAAGCATCCTGCACATCAGAAAACCAGCACAAATATTCAGTTCTTAAAAAAATATAAAAAAAATCAACCTTGCTTCCTTCTCAACCCTTTTTTGTTCTTCCAAGTACACAGACATGAACGATAGACTACTATCCAATATCTATGAAAGCAAACAAAGTCTATTTCATATGATCCTAATTTTGGAGAAAAGTGTTTGAAAACACTGATGGAAAAGCAAAGACATTCTAAGAGACTGAAACATAAAAAAAAAATTACTTATACACCAATTCAATACAGGACTAACAAGCCTGCCCTAAACTGAGACTGTACTCACTCTGCAGGACTCTAACAGAAAACCTCTCTAAGATGCTCCAAAGAAGCCCCTGGAAAGTAAACTCATTCTGTATCGGTCACAGAGGTTATACCCACAGAGTATTCAACAAAGGGGTTTTGTTTGGCATGTGATCTTTTTTTCTTGAAAATAAATGGTACTGGAAAAATATAACCTCTTCACCCTGCCTTGGAAGGGGTGATGTGAACTCACACTAGCCAGTCAATAATAAGGACTCTTGTGCAACTAGCTGGGATGAGAAATTATTCTTTTATGGTTTGGCTGCTTATTCTTACAAGTGCTAATATGAACATTGAACAAGTGGCACCCATGACCTGAAGAGAAAGAGATCACTGGTAGTTATTAAGTTTTGGTTTACTCTGTCCTGCTATGCAACTGTAATGAATGAAGCATTTAAGGGAATGGGAGAGATATCATAAAAATATGCCTGGTGTCTCATTGAGGGAGGGAAAATCTGGGCTTTGTAACAGCTAAATATTTAGAACATAATGGGAACAAAGAAAGAGACAATAGTAGCAAAAGAACAGGCAACATGGATTTCTGGGATCTGACATTTATGCATTCAACAAGCACCTCACTCTGAAAAACTCCCTGAATAGTTGCAGTAGTTGGCTCTTACAAACAGTAACATTTGGAGAAGGAAGATTTCTCCGTCACAGTAGCAAACACTCTTGCTGATATCCTTAAAACCAAGATGCATGAATTCTCACTCCTGATCCTATCACACAACTATTTCAGCACTGTACCCTTGTTAAGTGAGCTAATTAGCACTCAGGTATAAATTTTCCTGGGTTCAAGTCACATTGACATCTACTCTACCTTTCAGAGGCAGAAAAAGGTTTTCAGCATTATTCCTGATTCAGTCAAACTTAAGTCTGCACCTCTAATTTCAAGTTGTGCAATTAGAATCTTCATCTTGGAATTTGGTTCAAAATCTCCCGTTTATACCTGCACTGCTATAGGTTCCTTTGTCTTTCGAAAATACCCCTTTGCTTGAAGGAACAGCCTTTTCTTTCTCAGTTCCTTCTTTAGAGTGATTAAACAACATTACAATGCAGCAAAACTTTTCAGATCTGTTCACCCACAGTATCCAATAACGTAATTACATGCAAGGCACATTGATTTAAGGAAATCCTTTTTTTCCTCCCTTTTTTTTAATCCACTATCACTTTTAGGTACTGTTGAAATATAAAGGTTAAATAACACCCACCCCTTATTTGTTCCTCCTCATCATTTGTATTTCTGGTACTATTCATTGGCTTCCCAACATCCACATCTCCTACCCATGCGATGTGTGACTATGAAAACACATTCAAAGCACTCAACTGTCCCTACCATTTCCTGCACCTCCAGTGTTTCCATAGAGAAGGGGCTGGCAACTTTTTTCAAGCTGTGGGCCAGAACAACCCAGCCTCACTTCAACATGAGTTGGGTAGCTTTGGCAAAGCATCAGTGGTGGGAGTGGGGGGGAAAGGGGCTTTCCCTGCGCTGATGCTGGAGCCATGCAGCAAGGAACCATGCCCGTGCTGCCGGTGCTTCTCCCAGCCCTCTGCTCCCAGGCTACGGTATAAGTGCAGCTGCCTCCCAGAGGGGGGCCTCCACCAATGCTGGGTAGCTGGAAGCTGCTTGCATACATCTGCTGCTTCCCCCTGCCCCCACCCTTACCCAGCCTGGCCACAGTACAGTTCTCCTTCAGCTGGAGATTGCACTTCAACTGAAGCCTTGGGAAGGAGGGACAGTAAAGGAGGGAGGGAGGGAGGGCAGAGAGAAGCAGCAGAATCAACAGTACAGGCACAGGTTCCAGCTTCCCTGCCCCAGCACAGCTCCCTTCTAGTTCTCTTTTACTGTAGGGATTTTGGCTAGAAACAAATTGCTTGATAATTTTTTAGACAGTCAAACAAAAGAAAGCAAATATTGTTACCAGCATTGTTTATGTAAGAAATTTACTGTTTTAGGGGTTATCACTTTTTTGTGTAAAATTTCAAATAATAAAGAGCTTTAGTTACAGCCTCAGCAAAACAAAAAACTTAACTCTATTGCAAGACTTTAGTAGAATGTAACAGAAGACATGCAAATGATAAACATTTATTGAATGAAAGAATTAAGGCTTTTTTCTACTGTGATAAAACAATGTACACTTTATGCAACAGGGCTGATATGTCACGCGTGCTGAAAAGTGCACATATATTTGTGCTGTTCTGGTCATAAATGTGTATAAAATCCAGAGTTTATTTTCCTTTGCATTTAGACTTTTGAAGGAAGATGCCATCATTTGTAGGTGTAGCAGGGAGATGAGGTATTTGTCACTGTGCTGGGATGCAGAGAGAATATGAACACTGAAAAGTCTGCTGCCACAGCAAGGATGGTTCAGTATGGCCTGTAGGACATGACTGAAGTGAGGTTGTGGAGTTGAGTGGCAAGCACTGTGATCAACATAGTTTCCAGCAAAATTGCCTGCATCTGCTTCAGCTATTTCTGCATGTCCCTGTCTTTTCCAATAGTGTCCCATGTCAATTCTGTCTCTTCCCACATAGAAGACAGAGGACTGGAGGGAAGAGCTCCAAGGGGATGCTGACAAGAGCTCGGAAAACGTTTCATCTTCAGTCTTTCTTTATTGCCCAGAGATCTGTTAGGTATTCTGCAGTTAGAAATGCTTCTGTCTGGGAGGGCCTAAGGCATCCCAGACGCACAAGCCACAGCATAACACAACTAGTTATTTTATTAATTCAAACCTCTGTGGTAACACTGATAACATGCTGTTTTTTCCCCTTCCTGTTGTGGTCCTAGACATGGTAAGGCACTTTCCACCTTGTTTCCTTTCAAGTAGGAATCCTGTTCTAATATTGGGTTGCTGGCATTAATGGCAGTTGGGGAGGGATGTGCTAGAAGCAGGATTTGGGGCCTTGGGGTGGGGAAATACAGGGGTATGTGGAATATGGTGGATGGACCACAGGTCTGTGGCTCATAAAGAACAGGTTAGTAATTGTATATGCCCTTTAACAGATGGTTGTTATATTGGAGGGTGGTTGAACAAAGACACCAAGCGACAAACAAGGGGCTTGGCCAATAAAAATAAGGGGCAGGGCAGCAAGATACACAATTATGTTACTAACTGGATGGGGCCCCCAAGGGTGTGGCAGGAAGGGAAGAAAAATGCTAGTTACCTGTGCAGCTCGTGCAAGATTTGTGCTACCAGGCACAAAGCACATTGTGAACTAAAGTTCTGAAGTAATTCTCTGGAACACAGGGGTTGACGTGCCTGAGAATCTGAATACAGCTACCTGAGTACCACATCCTCTCTATGCATTTATACCTCATGAAATGCTAAGATTACAGTATGCTTTGAGATTTCTGCTAAGTGGTTTTATACTGGCTTTTTTTCTTGTAGCTAACAACTCAACAAACAAGCCTGAGAGCCAATGCTTTTATTACGAACTATCACATCCATACAAGCACAGCCAGAGGAAGGGGGACAAGGTAGTTGACCAGGAGGGAGCAGAAACATGAAGATGGGCAAAGAAGGGTTGGGGCTGATTGGCTCTGGCTGTGGAATCTGAAAAGAATTGCTCTAAAGCTGAAGTTCTATGGCACGCGTGCCATTTGGGGCACATATCTGTGGAGTGACAGGGGGAAAGGGATGGTTAGAAGGTAGGCAGATTTGGCAAGGCTGCTAGCTTACACCAGCACACACTAGCACCCACTGTCAGAAACAGAAAAAAGTCATATTACTTATAGTGTCTTATTTACTGCAATATATAATACTGACCAGCAAAGATCCCTACTGCTGAAATGTCATGCATCAAAGCCACCAGAGCGCCAGAAGCTTAGGGTCTGACCCATTTTCAAGAGTCCTGGTCCAATTCAGGGTTTACTGTCCCCCTGGTGCCCATACCACTTTCCACAATGTACAGGAGATTGGAGGTGGCCTCCCTGTGCCTGAGGGTTGGGGGTAAGAACTACCAGAGGTCCTGCTTCTGTCCTTGTTCTACAATTCTGCTGGTGCTCTTGTTATTCATCACAGTACTGAACAGAGCGACACCTCTCTGTCACTGTTTTTAGTATGCAATTGTATCTCTCTGCATCAGAGAGAAATAAATTGTCTTCTCTCCCAAGACCTCAGAGACCCAAGTCTTCCAACCTGTCTCCATGCAGATACATGAGGCGTGGTTGCTGTAATACTGAGAATAATGTATACTTATGCAGAAGACTGCAGATGTATATAATCACAAATTGCATGCCAGCAGTTACATAAGAAGTAACATCTAGTCAACATCACTCCAGAACAGTAGGGGGCAACCAAGAAAACAGGCTGACCTAGTATCACAGAATCAATCATAGAATCATAGAGAAGTAGGTCTGGAAGGAACCTCCAGAAGTCATCTAGCCCAACGCCCTGCCTGGACAGCATCATCCCTATCCAAACCATCCTATGAAATCCATAATTCAAGCTCTTTGTAAAACTTCTGTCAACCCTGACACAATACAAGACATAACACCCTAACCTGCCACAAGTATGAAGCTTTAGGATAGTGAAAGGAAGGGACTGTTTGAGCAGAAAAATTAATCCAATGCATCCATCCCAACCTTTCCTCACACCAACACATTCCAAAACTAACTTGGTCCAG